ACAGTGATGATTCTTCTTCTAGCTCTGAAGAAAAAGATGTCCTTTTTGCTGTTCCGCGGTATCAAAATGGCAAAATTAAAGGTCTAGTTATGCGGAAGTTGGTTTACATGGTCGCGCCTGTGAGGGGGCTGTCAAAACCGCTCTACAAGATGCCATTAAGGCAAACCTTCCTGCTCTGCTCGAGTCCGCCATGGACACTGCCATGGACACTGTCGTGCCCGGCCTGATCGAAAAGGCGGTCGAGAAGGCACTAGCCAAGAATACCCCGGGTCGAACTACATCCTCTGCTAGACAGGTCGATTTTTTGCAGCAAGGTTCGAAAGATGTTACCGTCGCAGGCGGTTCTTTGTCAAGCTCTGGCGGCCGTCGCGGCCAGAAGCGAAAAAGTCTCACCCTTGGGCTGGGTGATGACAACGACGACGACGACGACGACGTCGGCGCAACACCTTCACGACCTCGCAAGAAGATTACCCGAGTCGCAGGCGGCATTCAACTCCCCAAATTTGTCCAAGACAAGGGATGCGCCGCCGCCGGCCGACGAGCTCGAAACTGCCCACCTGAAGAACCAGATGGAATCTGTAAGGTTTGGGATAAGTTTAAACAGCCTGACCCTGCACCTGCCCCTGCCACCATTCCCGCTCCCGCCCCGGCTGCGGTGCCAACTATTAACCTCCCAGTCAGAAGGCAACAGTTGGCGCTGTGCGAGCTAGAAGAAGAGTGCCGTCCTGCCTCGCGTGTTCGCGATTAAACAAGCGAGATGCCGCGGCCGTCAGTTACAATACTAGAGTGATTTCGATGTCGACAGAGACGATGGGTTCGTCTTCTTCAGTCCATATTTGTTGGACGAGCTATTCGAGCTATTCCACCAACGCAGGAATTGTTGCCAGATGGTAATACCCCGCATCCAGTCTTCCATTGAATGCCCGAGGACGAAGACTGAGTCTGGCACATTGCCATAACGCGCTCTAACGCGCGGTCTTGATCTTGCCTGGCCAAAACGTCACTGCTCGGCAGGGACAGGTCACTATGGCACAGATTTAAACAAGCCGGCCGAGCTACATCAACGCCCTCTTGATTTAAAAAGGGCTGAGAGCACCGAGTCGTTAGTCTAGTCGTACAGCCAGCGGCTCGGCCGTCAACCCAATTGTATTAGATTAGTCCGTCTTCTTACGGCGGCCCCCGCCCGCCAACAAAATAACAGCTATGTTTTGCTAAGAATAAACTTTAAATAAGCGGATAGGTGTAAGCTAGATAAATTAGCTATATACGCATAGATCTATATGGAATAAGCACGAGGCACAACGGAATAAAGCTGTCGTGTGATATTTTAAACGGGTTAAAGCGATATCTAGCAAACAACAGTTTCGCCCGAGGAGAACTTCTTTTAAGATTCTCGATGCTAAGAGCTATATAGTTATTCCGTCATTGTCTCCTGCATACACTTCAAGGATTCGTTACGGCTTCGGGCTTCGCTAGGTAGGAGATCGGCTTTAAAGTATACCTAATATTAAAGATTGTATCTTAACTGGCTAACATGATGGGCATCCGCGGAGCTCACTCGGCGCATCTACGGATCTTCTAGCTTGATCTGCGTATCTGATCAGGCAAGTCACAATGGCTCTTTTGTCGGTCTACGCATATGGGGGCTTCCCCCGGATCCTGCTCTGGAGTCTAGTCTCCGGATATCGCCCGATGATCTTAACTACATACGTCGGATCTGATACCTTCCCGTTCCAGAAGCCCATCGAATGTTATTTCAAGAATGCAGACCGCCATATTCTCATGTTGTCGGATAGGGGTTGACGCAGTTGGTTGAAGCATACCACGATCCTAGATTCCTATGGTCGAGGTATCCCAAGAGAGCAGATGAGGATCATCCCAGAAAGACCACAGTCGCCAGTCGTCACTGGTAATATCAGTGTCGTATCCGGCAAAGGGGTCCGGTGCAGACTGATCAGATGACTGATCCTGTGACTGCTCCGTCTCTCGTTTCTGCGTGACTTTTGCTGGGCGTCTGCAAGAATGTACCTTCTGCCTCGTTTCGGGACAGCGACAGGTATTATCGCGTTTATCACTATAGAGGCCCCCAATGGGTGCGTAGTGCACAGAATTCTCCAGCTCGGGGTAGTCACGTCGAGACCGACTAATGGATGGTGCAGCATTGTTGATAAACCTGTCGTACAGGTTCTGCGCCGCGCTGATGACCTGCACCCACTCTTCTCCTAGTTTCCACAACTTTGCAATCTTCTCGAGATCCGCCAGGTTCTCTGCCGCCAACTGCTTGCGCAGGTCTCTCTCCTCGAGGCGATGCATGTGAGGAAATGATACGGCGTATCCGTTAATTAGGGCTGCTGTAAACACGCAGAGGCCTGTGAAGGGCGTATGCAGCGCGATATCGAGGCTATTAAGATCCCGCATAATGTATGATACTTGTGCTGTTGCTTCGAAGAGCTCATCAGTATTCTGGCGCCACCAGCCAGGTGGCGCTTCCTCCGAGTAGAATGGCGGATCGATGGGTCCCCGAGGCTCTCGTTCTGCGATAGGTAGAAGAGGTATATATTCCCGGCGTAGAAAAATAAGACTTCGAATACTATCAGACCTAGTCAGGGAAAAACCAAGCTTGAAGGACTTACCAGAGGTAGTACAACAGATTAATGTAGGCAAAGACTTCCCCTTGTCTAAAGTGAACATGAGTGGCCACTTTGGTTGCCGGGTACTTCAATCTTGTGTCCTGGTCTCCTCTCCAGAGTAATAACTGCTCTTTCAACTTTGCCCACTGTGAAGTTGGCTTCCATGGACAATTTTCCGGCTCTGTCATTCTCGCTTGCCTCCTCCCGCCGTCCACTATCCAGCTGTGTATTTTATGCCAGATATCTAGGCCTCGGATGAGGATACAAAAATGAAACCCCGGGCAGGAGGTCTCTTTGCGGAGAGATGTGTTGCCCATTAGATCTTCGAAGTTAATCAATCCTCGCGGTTCTCCCGCGAAGACAAAGTCTTCCTCGCTCTGCGGCATGCGAACTTCGATGTCTTCTGGCTTCATCATCGCTGGGCGTTGCTTACCGCAGCTCAGCAGTTTATCTATCGCGAAGTACGTCCACATGGTTCTGATCTCTACTTCAGACAGGACTGGCGTATTCGACGTTGCTCTCGCGTCCCGCTCCATTATCTCGGTCTTAGTAGCTCGGTATACTTGCGCCATTCTGGCTGCAATACCAGCATACATCCAAGCACTATATCCAATCCCCTCCCCCCATTCATAAATCGCCATGATGAGGAAACATTGGATAAGGCTTAGACTTGGCGGCGCCGTAATGCGACATTGTAGCTCTTGAGTTAGTAATGCAGCATGATCACCTCGACGAACGTCGGCTGACTCCCCTAGATACCTACAACTGACAGCAAGGATGGCTATGAGTCTCAGTTTTTCGTCGTCAGGTACATCGCTAGAGACCCTCTCCAGATCAGATGGGTGAAGGAACCCGCATTCGGGAAACTGAACTCTGAAAGTGGCAACCGCCTGGGCGAATAGACTGGCATCTATTCCAGCAAAATGGCCAGCAAGCCCATCGTTGACAGGTACTGGGCCAATCGCCGGATTGCGTTTTCTTACGGCCGACCTAGTGCCCGGGGAAGCCAGCGAGGATGTCCTCTTTCTCGGGGCTCGCGGCGTCTGGATACGCGATGAGACGATAGTGGGTGTGAGAACACAGGTACCCGAGTTACCACTCCTCAGACATCCACGGCAAGGCGATTCACCTGTATGATGGCATTTTACTTTAGACCTCCTTTCCAGCTAGCTGGTTAGCAGTAATCTTCGGATAATAGATGTCGGTCGAGAATCGCATCTATAAAGAGAAGCGAGGCATACCTGCACCTAAAACTCAATCAGTATAAGGATCTCGGGAAAACGCACGAAGTAGAATACCATCACTTTACCTTTCGCACGCTATTGTTGTCCTCATTTTAGTATGGGGTGATCCACGGCATTGTGCTTTATCGTGAAATGAATGAATTGGGAGCAGGCTAACTCAGGAGACCAAAGCCGAATCATGAGATATTCCCGACTTTCCCGATACCGGATCACCGTCGGGCCCTATCTCACGCTATCCTACAAGCTAGCACCCCGGACTGTCGGTGGCGTCTATAAACCGGAGGGCGTACAATACATATTCAATCCCAATCATCCATCCATAGCAATTTCGTCTCATAGATAAGGCAACACGGGGAATAGGAGTACCCGGGTCATCAACGAAATGCTAATTAGGATGTGATTTAAATCGATGCCGTCAATAAGCCGGATTCCAAAAGCGGTACTCGCATATAGGTATCTTATACCAGAGAAGGTATAAATAATAGCAGTAGCCTCAATTCCTTCTTATAATTAAATGACTTCTAAGTGGTCCGTCATATTGCATCACGAACCTGAGCGGATTTACTATAGTCATGAAACTGTATATTTACGCTTTCTTTTTCCCTTTTTAAAAGAAAGAAAGAAAAAACTCACGGGCTACTGTGACTACTCAAGGATGATAGTATGAAATGAGTTTATTTCTGAATGTGTAGCTTCGAACTATCGTCAACCAATTCTATCATTCAAGTAAACTTGTCCTACCCGATAGTCATTACATTCGAAAACATCACGTGTGGCAATTCGAGTAATCGAGAAGAGTGTACATGTACTTATATAATATTAGAAAAGATCGAAGAAATGTCAGTCATTCTTACCATGGCCTCGACCAAAGCCCCGAAATCTAGTATCAGTATTCACTATAAAAGCATAATGCAGCCTCGGGATACGATACCGCTTTGCGAGTGAGGCTGGTGAACTGGTTTTTCAAGTAAAGGAACAACTACTATTCGCTTCGTTTTAGCTTACATCTAAGATTATGGTGGCTTATTCGCATCATCTAAGTGCATGTCACGCTAAGGCGCGTACTCACTCACATATAAGTCATTGAGGTCGAAAGAAGAAAGAAAAATAACAAAAGTTCAACATCTCTCCCGAGTGTGATTCAAACACACGACCTGTGGATTTCCTAGAAGATGAGTTTTAATTACAGTCCATCGCTCTACCAAACTGAGCTATCAGGAGATGCTATTGGCTAGTGAAGGCAGCGCTCTACATAGCAGTTTATGACGAAAGCAGTTAACTAACAACTAAGCTATCGAGAAATGTTATGATAGCAAAACGTCGTTATGAAGACGTAGAACCATCATCGACACTAAACTATAGTGAGAAACCGGACTGCGGACACTGCTATTGGTATCGTTCCCTCCTAAGGTCTCATAACGACCGCCTAGAATAAACCGGGTAGGGGACATCGTGAATGTGACTAGACGTGTATAATGGCATATAAATGCTTGTCATAATAGAAGACACACCGGGAAAATACGATCGGAGATTATTTACGTTATCTCAAGTGGTATCAAGAATGTTCAACACATGGTTTCTAAGAGGGGCTTATTACTTTACCTATAGCTCTCGTATTGAATATTGTTCCATTGTTAAAATGTTTTTAGACTTGACAGTTTAGTCACATGTAAGTAATTCTAAGTCATATGAGCTCAATGGCATATGACTCAATTAGAGAGGCGTGCTTAATAGTTCTTGCCCACTAGAGGGTGTTGATATAGGAAAATGCTCGTGTCGACTGAGGGGTTCTCACGCGCGGGTGAGTCTCGTATATCTTCTTAGTTGTTCTAGGGAATATAGGCTTCGTAGTCATGAATTATGCCTATCATGTATACTGAAGGACACATCGACGCGATTGGCATTTCACCTTTGCATATGTCTATCCTTCTGTGCCAAGGTGGGCATTAACAATTTCTGATATGATAGTTACCCTATAGTCCAGCAACATATATACTATCGATCCTGATCAACTCCAGTGTCACATCACAAACACCGAATAACCTGCCTCGTCTTGTAGATATGCGCTGTAATCCCGGCAAAATGAATGAGGCTCCAAAAAACGAAAACCAGGGACTCTCAATTGACACGAGCGACGATCTTACAATCTAGTCACGCATCTTAATTACGAGGGCATTCAAACTAACATTTCTCTCAAAACTACTCTTTCTTCATGGCTAATGTTCATCTACTCTACTTCAATACGAGCATGGTAGTCAAGAAATGAAACGTGTGTAGTTTGTGGTATATTCCGTGTTACATAAGCTCTTAAATGATGCCTCGCATGATACATATCGTTGCACAAAACACTAAGTGGCCGGATTTAGGCATCAAGGTAACAATTATAGTGCCCAGCCAGAAGCGAACGGGCCATCCCGACACTGATGAATAATTACCTGTCTATTCATTCCGTCCCTAGAGTATGCTTTTCTTTGCCCTCCTCTGCTGTGACCCCTTATCCCAGTATACTCTACTAGCCTATGCATACCATCATAACTAAATAAAATGCCGACTTATGGAGGCAATAGAGTTAGAAGAAACGTCGCTGCAGGAGCTATTCTCTGCGACGACATCTGGAACCGTTTCGCTTGGGGTTTAAAAGGCGTAGAGTTAGAAATACACAGCCGCCATAGGTTGGAGGCCTTCCTAGATGCTAAAGTGCTTGCATTCTTCCCTGTGAGCATCGCACACGGGACGATGCTTTTACTACGACGGTGTCTGTTCGCACGTCCCGTCTCTTCGGGACCACCCGTGCGGTGATGCTCTCGAGGCGAGTTTTACATAAACTATCCTCAGGTCTCGAAATCAGAGAGATTGATGAACTGATGGATTACTCATTTGCCAAGAGGGAGGTCAGATCACGGGCGTCTATGCCTGTGCGGTGCTCTAGGTCGTGGAATGATGGTCTACCGTACATGCAGATCTAGGATGTTGAGACGAAGCGCCAACTGATGCACGCTCTGCCACCCGCGGTGTATCAACTCTGTGTGCGTGTCGGATGTACGTAGATGTAGTAAGGGAGGGGCTCGATGGTGGGAGGGCATTAATGGTTCGTTCAATAGCGTGCAATGCAATGTCATTGGCTTCATGTCTGGCGCCCAGGCTTTGCGCGTCACGGCTAACATACTCGTCACAAACATACGTACCTATGTTCTGCTTCGGTGCTATACGCTACATCGGTATAGCATCGTGGGGTTATCCATAGCCCGACGGGATCAGTAGGGAGTTTATCTAGTGCTTCTGTCCAGTCCAAAAGTCCTCGCCGCCCCTCAGGTTCGGGGAAGCTACCGTTATCAGAAGTGTTTGATCTTCCGGCTTACCGTTTCCATGATCTTGGATGCCTCTGAAAGGGCGGGGGAGGGATCTTAATGGTGGTCTATATTCGATAAGGACGGTTATATCAACCTGCGTCATCACCTTTTATTTTCCGCATATACATGCTATAGGGAGTGAACCATTGTGCTATAACTTCGCTACTAAGTATTGTTGGCCACACAGATGACGATTCGCCTGGTTAACGGACCAACCAGCTTGGAATTCTATAGTCCCTGACGACTTGCCAAGGATAGAGATGCAGGTCGAGATTCTCCATGCGGTCATGATGTAGTTTTCGAGTCTACGCATACTATCCAGGTATGTTCTAGTAGTCATCATGGGGATACCAAGGCCGTCAGTCACAAGGACAACGGTGATAGCCGTCGTCGAACCACTGGGGTAGTTATACCTACCCTAATACGCTGGATGGAAAGCTACGGGCCATAGCTGGAAAGACACAAGCCGACACGTCCAGGCCTATAACAATATTCAGTAGCGTCTCTATTTTGGAAAGCCCGAATGCTACACTGCCACCGAACTATAATATAGCCATGCGAAGCAACGCAACGGCTTTATCCAGGCCGTTCGATTTATTGGGTTTGTCTCAGGTAAAACGGTTTTCTGTTTGGAGATCGCATCCCATTTGCGCTGGACTTCCCGATGACCTGGTATTGAGAGATCCTGCGCATGTTAGGGGCTTGCGTCATTCTTTGCCTCTCTTTGTCTCTTTATGCTCTTGTCAATATGTGCTTGCATGGCAGTTTTACGCGAGGGTAGACCTTGCCTACGCATACTCAAGTACTTACTTGGTGGCGTCGTGGCTTAACGTTGTCTCGGGCAAGTGAACACACTAATATTGATATGCTACCCGTTTAGTTTTCGAGTTGCTTGACTAGCGTTCATTGCACTAAAGGCTGGCCCTTACCGCTCTTCTAGCCTGGCGGCACTATACATACTGGAATAGAAACTCAACTAGAACTAATTCTCATTATACTAGTTTTATATATTTTGGGCGACGATTTCAAAGACGAACTGACTAGCTTAGGTATTCAAATTCTTAATCCTTCTACAATCTTTCTTCGAACAACTAAGTTAGCTAATTTTCTATAACCGTTCGGGCTCCCCATAGACAGACAGAGACTAGATATCCGGCACTATATCTACCTAGGTAGTGAGCTGCACTCGTCTCCACGCAACTAACCGGAAGAAGAACATCAAGAAACAGGGATTTATTCGGTACATATCAACTAGCCCATTTGTAGTCTAGAGCAACTGCAGCATTTAGACCTAAAATCTTGAAAACGACCTTAATTCGTCAACGTCTGCAGCTTAATTAGTCCGTTAGTATTAGCCTGTCATGGAATTCTTGAAGATCTTTCTAAAATTCTGGTTGGTGGAGATGAGACCAATTCGCCATTGCTCTCGGCTGCTTTCTGTCACGGAAGGATTGAGTGTCTAATAGTGAGGAGGGGAAAAAGACGATTTTTCTTTTATTTATTCTACCTACCATTTTCCATTATTTTGCAGCAGAGACTGCCAATCCAATAAACCCAATAGTGTGCGTATACGTCTCAATTTTCCGTATGTCGGTGTTACGGCGTGCATATGCAAGGCAAAGTCCTACTTATTGGATGCATTTGGAGGCTGGGTGGCGTACGCAAGTACGGCTCCTACATATGTAGTCAAGTAGGTGTCAGACTTGGTAGGTAGTCAGTATAACAGTATATAGTCACTGCCGGTATGCTGTGTGCATGCGTTTCTGGTAGCAGTTTAGTGTATATGGGGATTCTACATAAGTGCTGACCTATGTAATGCAGTCAGTGAGTTGTCCGCGCGATTACTAAAGAATGGTGTGTGCTCGACTAGCCAAAGGGCCATCTGCATGACGGCTACAACGACTTCGGACATAAGAACACTAGGCCAAGACACGAGGCGAGGCGAGACAATAGGTATGTTGTTTGTATATTCTCTCTTCATCTTCTCCGCGGCAAACCTGACAATTCGGACTTTGTACACTACTTATCTACCTAGTGTTTTCCAGTATCGCATATTCCTAGGACTACCTGATGTGTATACCTCAGGCGCTTGGGGGGAAAGGTGTTTGATTGAAGCAATATCTATTTATTGATGACATAGAGAAAAATACATAGAACCTGGTTCATAGGGAGAGGGAGATCTACGGATTATCAACATAAAAGGACCCTTCGAAGTGGAACAAAAAAAATAGAAAGATTGTCGTAAATGTTACCCGTTCCTGGCAATACTGCAGAAGACCGTGTAAGGCAGACAGGCTTACGCCCCGTCACGCCCGCAAGACAGCCCACACACACATAGGTATATACACACATTGCATCGCTAGTGGCTATCAAGTCGTGCCAGTCGTATGCGTGTGCGTGTCTGTGTGTGTAAGTGTGTGTGTGTAGATAAGTACTAGATAGGTGGACTACCTATGTATGTAGCTACGCATAAACTAAGAGGCAGACCAACGGCAGCCCACCCCGACCACCCCTCCACTCCCTACTCTATCACGGAGCGCCCAACTCCAGTGCGCAGAAGGCGTGTTCTTTTTGTCTAGATAGGTAGGATATGGGGGCGCTCGCACCGCAGATACGATACTATAGTGTGCGGTCCCAACCTCGTGTGTGTCTGGCGAGATAAGCTCCCTCTGTCACCCACCTTAGATACTTAATTACTTACTTACTTACCTACTGCTAGGTATGTTACCTATCCCGCACTCCACGCTTGCGAAAAAGGTTAAGAACGTGACAGGTGTCGGTGAAGACTTTTTGACTTTTTTGGGGGGTGTTCCTGGTCGCCACGTTTTTTTCTTGTTGCGGCCTTTGTCTCTCATTCCCTTTGAGTTTTAC